TTGTGAGATAGCTAGTTATAATGGTAATTAAACAAAGTTTTGCTCACTCAGTGTATTTTTGATTTTACAGCTGGGTAATTTTGTTGCAGTAGCACAAGATAGCTTGAATTAAATCTTTGAATTGAATAAAAATGACAAGGAGGCTAAGCAGTTAATAATCAAATAAGAACAAATAAAGAAATTACTAATGATAGCACAAATAAATAAAAAATCACGATAGGCCTACAAATGAAATCAATTGCTTTTTAGTTTTTCAGGTAGGTCTAACACACAATAGGGCTATTAAGAGATTTTTTTTTTTTTTTACCAATTATCCAAATGTTTAATCTTAGAAAGCTATTATTATCATCAGAGGACACATGAGCATAACGGTTAGCAGATCAATGAATGAGAGGGCAGCGTTACCAGAGTTGCTCACATACCACACCATGTTACAGCACAGTAGGGCTATTGCAGACAGAAACAATACTGTACTACATCCATGTTTCCTGTCAGCTCGATTTTTGAGAGGACTTTGCTGTTCCGATGAGCATGAACGGTATATGAGTGGAGCACTCACATGAGCCGCGAGCGACTGAGCGGAGCGCACACACAGAGCGGGATAACACACACACGCACACAGAGCGGGAAAATACCATACAGTCTATGGATAATACACACACGCATAGAGCGGGATAACACGCAGAGCGTCACACCACGTGACAGTGAACTAATACACACACGCATAGAGCGGGATAACACGCAGAGCGTCACACCGCGTGACAGTGAACTGATTTTCGGCAGCCGGAATTTCAGTGCATCTCTAATTATTGGCGACATTAGAAATTTATATTATATAATAGCTGCTTTTTTGAACATTTTAGCAATTTAAAAATTAAAAAAAAAAATTTCTTTACACGGCACCCCCGCTCTCTACAGACCCCGGTTGGGAAACACTGCTCTAAATAATGCCGCGAGTGGGGCTTGAGGAAGTGACGTCACCTGCGTCTGCGCAGTGCGACCTGATGCAGCCCCTGAAGCGACACACAGGAAACAGAAATACTGCAAAATAATAATAATAACGAGACGAAATAACGTTATAACATTTTGTTTCGTCTTGTTTTGGTCAACGAGAATGAAGAGACATTTTAGCATAGTTTCTATTTTGTAAACCACATTTAGTCTCGTTTTTATTCGTCAACGATATTGCGTTATACATTTAATTATCGTCATCGTCACATGACCAGCATTTACGTGATAAAGGTTTGTTGTCGACGATATTTAGTCATAATTTTCGTTGACGAAAGCAACACTACACACGAGTGATGTCGAGGCTGTGTCCGAAACTGCATACCCACTGACAGTGGCGGTTCTAGACCACAGTGGGGGGGGGACTTGCACTTTTAGGGGGCACACTTTTAAAATTAATTTTTTAACCTACTTTCAGTTTAATTCATTCAGTCATTTTTCACCATGTCATGTATCACTGCAATCTC